AACATAGCCAAGCATGTCCCCCACCGCGACTTCGTCTACCGTCGGCGAAGTTGGTGGTGCATGGAAGGCAAGATACTCGTGTAAGAGGGCGCATAGGGCTGCGCTTTGCGGCCCCGGAAGGTTGCCCGTCGTAGGGAGAGGAATCCAAGCGAAGTCCTCGGGCGTGAGCGGGTCCAAAGCCTCCTCGTTGAACACGCTTGCCGAATCCCTTGATGAAGACGAACTGGCGGAAGAACCTTCGGACGGTGAGAAAGACGCACATGTATCTTGTCCTTGAGAAGCATCCAGTGAAGGAACGAGCCGGGCAGCGAAGTCTTCGAACGAAAGTGGAAGACTCCCGACATCCGCATATGCCTCGGAAGAAAGGGCGGTCGTGGCCACAACCGGTTCCGATGGCGTCGAGGGAGGTGTCGAGTCACCCTCGGCGGCGCCTACTTTCCCGGACGGGGTTTCCCCTTGGTGGGGCAATGTGCAGCATCGTGGATGGTGCTGTTGCACCAAAGGCAATACCGGTACTTGAGTCGCGTGCGATAGGAATTCGTCGAGAGTCCGTATTGCGCCCAAGGTTCGTCGGCTGCTGATCCGGTGCTCAGTGTAGAGGTGGACTGAGTCTTCGTCTTGTCCCGGCCGTGGTTGTTGCGAGGCCGGCCACCATCCCGGGCAGCTGCCAACACTTCACCCTCGTTTGGTGTTGCAGCCTCGRTAGAAGTAATGCAAGCCACCTTTGGCTTGGGCTGGGTGCCGCTCGTCGTCGCGGAAGATCGGCCGGCGTTGTGGGCTTCGATATTCGTGAGAATGATCCGTGACGCTGTGCTGAAAAGCAGATGTGTCGAGTGTCTCCGCAATCTGAGTCAGCGCGTTTTGCAGAGCTGGACACGAGCGCATGATAAACAAGTGCTTGATGGCGCAGAAGGCGAGCGGCAGGTTAGGTGTGGAGGCGAGTCTTTGGAACTCGGTAATCCAGTCCTGACTGAGCAGCGTGTTCTGATGGAGCTTGTTGAGCTTGTCCATTGCTTGCAGGTCGGGCGGCTCCACTTGGAATCGCTTGTGCCAGGCGTCAGTCAACTCCTGCCAAGTGAGCTTGGTGTGTAGTTCTGACACTGCTACGTCGTGGCTGGTCAAGATGTTGTCCAACCATGCTTGACACGCACCACSAGATCGGTGGTACAAGCACGGATGTCGATCGTTGTTCGGGACATGGTGCATGTCGAGCCTGAGAGTAAACTGGCGCCACCACGGGATCGGTTCCATCTTCGACTGATCGCAGAAGACTGGAATGTCATCTAGCTTGGGTGGGCGCCTGGAGGATGCGGCGGCGGGCGTCACGGTGGCAGCAGCCTGGACCTGCGTCTCCAACTGCAAGTTCGTTGCTTGCTGCGACGTCCTGAAGTCCTGATGCWCAMRCTTGATATTGTTGACGTCGTCCTCCAAAACTTGAACACGGGTGGCAAGGTTTGAAGGCCCTGTGGCTGCTACAGCAGCTGGCTGTTTTTCCAACGCCTGCAGCCGTGCGAGCATCTGGTCCACTGTCTGYTGCAGGTGAAGGATTTCCTCCTGCTGCAGAGCGCAGGTGGCCACGAGGTCGTGGGAGACCTGCGCAAGGGCTGACAGCCCTTTCTCAGTCTCCGGGGCCCCGTCTGCAGATGCCACTTCCACCCAATGTGCGGCCTCATCGCCGATCACGGTCTCCCGCGTGAACAGTCGTTCCCGCTGGTGTGACCGGTGTTTGGCTGCCGCCTGCAGGTCTGCCTCCTCTTGACGAAGTCGGTCCTGTTCCTCCTTCTGTCGCTTGGCCTCCTCCTCTTGTTCAAGCCGATGACGTTCCTTGGCCGCGGCGGCGGCCCTATCGTTGGCCTCCTGAATGAATGCCGCCAGGCGTTCCTCATAGGCCAGGAGGGATTCTCCCGCCTTCCGGTCCATGGCCTTGGTCTGTGATCGAGTGAGCAGTGTCATGCACTGCTGTGCCCG